AGACTTGTGGACTTCATCTCCCAGAATTCCTCAGCCAGCAAAGCTGGCTGAGGAATTCTGGGAGTTGAAGTCCACAAGTCTTAAAGTTGCCAAGGTTGGACACCCCTGGTTTAAAGCCATGGCTTCCCATGTCCTATATGCTATCTATGCCTAAATTCTGCACCAGGAAATACTAGTGTTAAATCAAAGGCATCTGATTAGGCTGGGAGCTTCCTATTTTAATTATATTGAGTAGATCTATAATCATAGCTGTTAGGGATATACACCCTAGCAGAACGTGCAACGGCAGTCTAGCAGACAGGCAGATATGTGAGACAAAATGTAGTAGCTTACACTCAGTAAGACAGATACACTGTGCAAGTTAAATAGTTTTTATTCCAGCAAGAGTTATAGCATAGTCAAACGGTCCATACGTCATACACTAAGTTCAGTCAGTCCGGGGGTTAATCAGTTTGCAAAGTCCAGTGTCGAAAAAGAGTTCATTAAACTTACAATCAATCAGTCCAGTGATATATCTCTTTTGCAGTCAGAGATATGAAGAAAAATCAAACCCCTTTTCTTCTTTCAGCAAACACGCAGTTATCACCATCAATTCATCATTGTCAGCAATCCAGTATAAGCCAGGGAAACAGTGAGCTCTCTTGCTCCCTCTTATGGTGATTTTACAACCGCACCCAAAAACTTGGTTTACAGTTTAAAGTGATACATACACTTAAACTCACTAACATAGTTTATATATTATTTTACACAAACTAAGTTAGGTAACCAATGTTATCCCTAACAATAGCCCTCTTCAGAAATTTGGGAGAGTAGATAAATGGAATGGTGATGGTGAGGTTGTAGTGGGGATTCAATGTAATGGGTTAGGAAAGGAAAGGAGAAAGTGGGAGATAATAGCCAGTATGACAATCCAGCCTTTTTTAAACAGGGAACACAACTTGCAGTATCCTCTGAAAGTTTTATTTTTAAGGCTAAAAAAAGGCAGAATTTATTAATCCAATTTACATAGCTGCCTATCTCACAAGAAGAAGAATATTAAGCAGGTAGAAGTATGCATATGAATTGTATTTCACTGATTCAGTTTAATGTTAAATCAGAACTGAAATTTGATTAATTTTAAATCTGATTTTGGCCCTATGATTTTGGGTGTACAAATCCCCAACATACCACTCAAAAGCCAAGGCTGGCCCTTGGTTTTAAAAAATGTTACCCACCCAGTACAAGAATATAGTACGAAGTGCATAAAGTGAGAATTGTAATAGCGTAATACGGTAGAAATAAGCAAATAATAGTGATAAATTGGATGTATAACATGATGGAGAGAGTATATTGTATGAGAGACTTAATTAGGATGTATAAGATGTTGAGGAAAAAAGAGGCCTGATGTAACCAGTACACAAAGACATTGTATAATTGGAACGGTTATGTATATTAAGGAAAAATGTACAATAAAATTTATATTTAAAAAAATGTTACCCACCCTGCCCTCCTCACCCTTCTGGCACTCATGTATTCTGATAAGCCCACAAACAACAAGCATTGGCCAGTAAGCACCTACCTGCTGGGACATATAACTGTGGACTTCCTGCAGCACATCAAGTATTTTGTAGGCATCAAATGCACGAAAAACCTGGATTCTCCGCAATGCCTCAGCCTACAAGGTAACGGGGTAAGGAACAAGGTAAAGTAATACATCCTGGATGCCCCTGTCAAGTTGGGATGCTCACCAAGATGAGGATTAAAAAAAAAAAAGAGGGTAGCCACAATCGTGTAACCAAAGCCTCACCCCCCACTATATTGGAGCAGCAAATCAGATCGTTGCTTTTGGTGTTCAGAGTTTATCTCAGAATATTGTTTTTAATCAAACTAATTTGAAGAGCCGTTTTGCTCTAGTGATTAAGGTATCAGCCTAGAACAGGGGTGTCAAACTCAAGGCCCGTAGGGTGCTTAAATCCGGCCCCATAGGGCCACCCTAGAAGCAACAACGATCACAAGAATGGTGCTTGTTTGCAGAATGGCAATCTCATTAGGAAAGCCATACCATGTGTAGCCTGGGCAGGCCCATCAGTAGCTGCAAAATATCCACAGAGGTAAGTGGAGTGCTTTGTGCATGCTGGTGGGCCCTGTAACTGGTCAAGGCCTCCTGGGCTTAGTGGGATGGAGCAACTGGCAGTGGGCTGCAACAACTTTTCTGTGCACAGGTCGGGGAAATGAGTGGCTAAGGTGGGGGAGAGACAGTGTGCCGCTATGGTTGTAACTGTGGATGGACTTCTAAGAATCCAAATCCACTGCGGCAATCAGCACAATTAGCCTGCAGTACTGCGTTCTAACCACTACGCCACCAGTTACCACGCCACCTAGATACTCTTCTAGGTACAAACACCACCCCCCCACACACACACGAGTACTTTCTGCTCAGCTGACCTGCTCTTCCTCATCCTCAGTTAAGCAATTCAGTAACTCCAGTAGACGGGCACTGGTGAAGCCTCCAGTTGAGTCAATGTACAGGACAGTCTGCTTGAGATTATGGGATACATTTGCAGCTACAATGAGGCACACCTAGAGACACAACAAGAGGCAGAGCTTAAGACTCGTGTAATTTCTGAAATTAGAATACACAAAAGCAGCCTTTTTCATAGCCTACTTTCCAAAAGTTTGAAAAAAAACCCAGCAAATCACAAACTAGGATTTCAACTCCCAAGATTTGTCCCAGATTACGAATCTTGAATTTGGGGAGCATGAAATGCCAGTCATTTGGAGTTCAGATAACATGATAAATCACAAAGCTAGAATATGGAGCAAATGGAAGCAAGATGAGACTGCATCCAAGCACTTTATCCAATATATTTAGCTGAGTGAGTCTTGCAAAAATTCCTCAAGGGTGAGCGCCTACTTCCTCCAAATTCTCAAGCAGAAAGAAAGATTTTCTAAGGCAATGCTTGCTAGCACTCACATACACACATCATTAAGTAAAGATATAATGGGGTTATTTTTGCTTTTTGCTGTATACTACTTTTCTTCATAAGCAATTTGATGTCTTAAAAGGAAAACCATTGTTCTCCTCCTTACAAGTGAAACCACACAGTTAATTTTTTACTACACTTGGGCTAATACATGGGACAGGTTACTAAGGGTCAAGGAAAAACAACTTTGGGTTGGAGGTTACCCCAGACAACAGCACATGGATAGGAAAAAGTTCCACTACACTCACACACACACACACACACACACCAAAAAGAAAAAAGAAAAAGCAACCATTGTGCTTTTCCCTTCCCAAATATATCCCATTGAAGCCAGTTATTATAGGAACAATATGATGTGGTTTGGTTTGGTTTGGCTAATGATGATATAAGGATCCATAAAACTATGGATATCTTAGCATGATATGTGAGCAAAGACTAATTTTAAAAGGCAACCTCCTAGCTTTGATGCTTTCCTCTTTTTCTTTCCCATTATTTTGTGTTTCATCTTCACCCTTCATATCTGATGTCTAAAGATTCACTGGACAGAGTTCCAGGAAACCAAATCCAACTTATCTAGAGACAGCAGGTCAGCTGATATTATAAGCCCAGAGGTAGAGATTGTGTCCCTTGTGATAAAACTCATTCATAAAACCTACTGGGGGGGGGGGGGGGGGGGGGGGGGGAGGGAGAGATCTCAAAGATGTCTGCCAAATCAAGGATTTTGCTATTTTTAATCAAGGTTTTGATTATCAAGGATTTTACTAAAAGGCCCTACTTCCACAGTCAGAAGGCACCAGAAAACAGACAAGTTTTAAAGAGGCAGGAATGGATTGTTACAATGAATTTGTGTTTGTGGGCAAGCTCAGTTTGGGAAAGTACCTAGCTGAGGGTGCAATGAGCCACAAACGCCTACATCTATACCCAACACATCAAAGTTTTGTGCCACTTGCAGAAAAACCTGGCTAAATAATCAGACACAGAGAGAAATTCTTTGATCTATGCCTCAAGAGGGAAAAACTAATCAGCCATAATCAGAAACTATTAAAATCTACAAAGCTCCTTCTTTAGCTGGCTTCCATTGCAGCACGTTCTCCAATTTGATAAAGGACTTGCTGCCTTCAAGTGCAGTAGAAAAAATTTCCCCAATACTAGTAATAAAACTGCTACTGGCACTCTGATCAACTTCCCTACAAGGAAAAGGAAGGTTATCATGTCCTTAGGCTCGAAATATCATACAAGTCAATCTTCTGGCAACCCCATCTCTGCAAGAAAAGCTGGATTTCAGCCCCTTAAAGAATAGGACACATTGCTTCAAATCCTGCCCTCCCCCTTTCATATAAGGTAAACCAATATCCCTTGTCAAAACTCCTACAGGGAGAGGCTAGCATATCTTTGACAACTTGTAGCAATGTGGATCCATCTCCCATTCAATCTTGCTTGTTGCAATGTACAATTCTCCATAGATGTGTGCTGCAAAAAGTATTTTGCTACCATAAAGCAAAACAAACGTCAAAACCAGAAAAGTTATTTCTTGTAGGGCCTTTGAAAAGGAGAATCCACCAAAGTTGACAGTGGTTGAGTAAAACATAATTTTCCTCACGATTTTTGTATACATATTGCGTGTTTATAAGATTATGCTCTACCTAAAGTCCAATGAGAAGATAACAGACAATAGCCAACTAGGTCAAGAACAGCCAACCTGAGTTTTTCCAGCACTGGGTGCTCCAACAAGTTCTGTCACTTCCCCCGTGTATATACCAGAGTCAAGAAGTTTGTCCAAGCTATAACAACAAAAGAGGGCGGAAAATGAGAATTTAAGAACATATGCATCCCAATGTTCATCTTGTACTTTATCACATGTATCTCCTTCTCAAGTGTCTTCTCTCCCAAAGGACAAAAGAGCAGTCAGAGTAGGGTCTCTATTTAGGCTCAGAAATTCAATGTTGTTGCTTGCCCAACATAAAGAGAGGGCAAAGCAAACCAAAGAGTGATTACCCTGCCAGTTTCATCCCTGGCAAGTCAGTTTCACAGCAGCTCATTTGCCCACCAACCTTGCTCAATTCAGAAGCCTTCAAACATGCCAGGCTACAGCTCTTATGCCCAACCACCATGGCTGTCCTGATTATTCATTGTAGGCCAATCTTTCTACAAGCAGTTGGAAGGGGAAGACTATTCTCTGCCATATTAAGAGGGGGGAAATGAACTTACAGCAAACTAGGGCTGAATGGATGGTTGATCTGGATAGAGAACTGATCCATGACAGGCAAGATACTGTTTAATGTACTTGGATCCATATTCAAAGATTCCTCAACCACAGAAAATTAATTGGGCAATTTAAGGTCAGTCGTTATCTCTTAGTTCACTTCCCTCACTTGGTTGCTATATGGCTATTTATTTATTCATTAGATTTATAACCTGCCTTTCCTAGAACCACCTGGAATTTCTGGAGGAAAGGTGAGATATGCATCTAATAGAAAAAGCAAATATTGCCAGTTAAAGCTCATGTTTATATTCATGGAATTGTTAATTCTCATTTTCTGCTCACTAAATTGAGCTCCTGTATCTCATTAAATGGGTTAAATTCAACGTGCCCAGATTTCAGGGTCTCAGGTGGCGTATAAATTTAATAAATTATTATTTTTCAAACACCTATTATTGAATAGACAGCTCTAAAACAGTAAATGATTACTTTTATTCTTGCACTTTCTTTAAGAGAGCCGCAGTGGTACAGCAGTTAGAATGCAGTATTGCAATCTAATTCTGCCAATTGTCAGAATAAGTTCTCACAGGCTCAAAGTTGGTAAAATGAGGACCCAGATTATTGAGGGCAATATGCTGACTCTGTAAACTGCTTAGAAGGTGCTGCAAAACACTGTGAAGCAGTATGTAAGTGCTATTGCTATTGCTCTTAAATTTCTATTTTTTTTTATTAAACTTCTATGCCACCCATCTTGCCAAGGTAATTCTAGGCAGCTTACTCATTCCTTAAAAACACCATATAAAACATTAAAAAGAATAAAGACCACACATTTAACTTTCAGTTAAAATTCAATACATTTTCCTTCCCCGTTCATCTTCCATTAGTATAAGTGGTCCTCTTTCCCTGCTTTTGCTCCCACAATACACTATGAGAAAGAAGCCTGAGGAACGTGGCTCATGTCTCAGCCCATTCCTAGGCCCCTCCTCAGTTAACAGCAATGCTATCATAACAGTTGACATGGTGATTGAGATGGCATGAACTGCTTATCCAGAGTCAACTGAATCATGGCTTGTTCCATTAGGAATAAACCTAACTGAAGCCATACAGAAGGTGTACGGACCTTCTGAGGTCCATACACAGACTGAGTCACAAGTTAGTGAGCTACATTTTAACCTAGTATGGTTTATAAGCAATGGAGCGAAGTAAAACCATGGTCTGGTTAACTGTAGTTAAATGGATGGTGAAAGTACAGCCACTAGCTATATTCTGTTTAAAAAAAATATATATGGAAAACTGCTCTTGTATTTAGCTCTGCAAGGATGTGGAACAAGGCCCCCCCTGCATTTGTGGTGTAACCCTTATATATGTGAGCTTAAAAATTAATGGAGGTCTGTTTTAGATAAAAGGTTGCCCTCAACATAACACAGCGCTCTGATTAATCACCCCTTGCCTTTCAATTCCAGTAGACAAGATTGCTGTGGTGTGCTTCAATTCTTCATAGAGATCTGCCCCATTGACTGGGAAGGAGGAAAACTGTGCCAGCAATACACGTCGTACCGCAACTAAGGTCTGTAACAGAAGATTATCAATCTCTTACCATCTGCAGCTTTAGCATTAACAAGGGTCAAAACAACCAGCGGCTGGAGCAGTGTTTGTCAACTGTGGCAACTTCCTGACGTATGGTATCCAGAATTCTCCAGCCAGCATGGCGATTATTGAAAATTCTGGGAGTTGAAGTCGCCAGAATTGGGAAACACTCAGCATGATGAACAAAAGGCCTTCTAGGCCAATATACAGGCCAATAAATTAGCATCTCAATTAGCATTAGGGATACTGTTCTCCACTGTGCCCACCAAAACTCCTTACCCTCCTAATTAAAGCAAACATTTTAAATGTTTATTTTTCCTGGTGTTTACTCTAGATAAAACAGGCCTCAGGCCTACAACTCAAACAACTACAAGTCAACATTTTATTGCTCAACAGCCAGCTGAGACTGAAAGAAAAAAAAATTAGGGGAGCCAAAAAACGAAATTAGGGGACAACTTAGGGGATGAGTCCAAGGGGCTAAAAAGGTCAATAGGGGAGAAAGGAGGAAATGAGCCAAAGGGGCAACAGTTGACAGAACATCAAATCCCAGCCAAGCTGCCAAACCACAAAGGTTGGAGACCGCTGAATTACAGTATAGTGAAGAAGAGGGGGGAAATCAGCACTATGCATTTAAAATTATACAGAAGGGGAAAAGAGATCCCCAAGTAATTTCTGATTATGCAAGAAGCACTAGCTGACACCAATGACACCAAGACAGTGTGTGGACATTGACATTTATCTGCCACCATTGACCACACTTGCTGATTGCATCATCATTGGTCCTCTTAAACCCCTCATGTAGCTTAGTTCTGAGACAGTTGGCTATAAGATGGAAAACTACTCTACATTATAAATATTATAGTTTTTATAAACCCATATTACTCTTTTAAGTCTATAATATGTTCATGGCCCTAAAGATGAACACCCTTAAATATCATCTTGCAGATCTGTCTATATAAACCAGGGGTGTCAAACTCACGTCGTCATGTGACATATCAAGACTTTTTTCCTCTTCGCTAAACTGGGCATGGGCGTGGCCAGCGCATGACGAATCCAGCCCACAGGCTGGGAGTTTGACAGCCCTGATATATTAATTATTTCAAGAGCTTCTCAATTTTTTTCAAGTTCTACAAAACAAATATAAATATTCCTCCAATCACAATGAAATCACAGGGAATATTTATTTGTTCCTTGTTTTATTAGGGATCAGTCAGAACTATGCAACATTTTGTGTGGTGAAATATGTAATAATCATCTCTAGAGACTCCTTGTACTCACCTTGTATGATAAGGAATTCTTCTGGGCAATGTCCTCCAGATCCGATGAGACAAGATCAACCACTACAAAACGTTTGGAAAGAAAGAGAAAAGGAGATGAAAAATAGGAAAAAGCTTCAGCTGTAATGTAATTTTAATAAAAGATTTTACATAAGCTATACAAACCTCAGAAACATAAATACTTCAATGAATACTCCAGCTTCAACCATAACAACACAAGAGCAAACAATAGATACAAACTCAAGGTTAACCGCACCAAACTTGATTGCAGGAAATACAACTTCAGCAACAGAGTGGTCAATGTCTGGAATACTCTACCTGACTCTGTGGTTTCTTCCCCAAACCCCAAAAACTTTAACCTTAGACTGTCTACTAACCTCACCCCTTTCCTAAGAAACCTGTATTCATAAACGCACCAACGTGCCTACCGTCCCTGTCCTATTGTTTCTTTTTCTTTTTTTCCTTTTTCTTATATGTATCCATGTATTCATAACTATGTTTTTTTTACTTATACCTATTATCTTGTAAGCAATTGACAAAAATAAATAAATAAAAAATAATAAATAAATAAATAAAAATAGGAAAAAACAGTAAATATGAAAGAATGAAAGAAAATGTAAGGAATAAAAGAAGCAATTTCTGATCTTCTTTACAAAATTAGAAACATAGTAACCTCAATCTTCAGCTTCCCAAATTACATATTGTAGTTTCCTTTTTCCTTCTTCAAAACTTTTGAATCAATAAATCTCCAAATCCCCTATTTATTTTTATCTATTTTCAGCAAAAAGTCAACAAAGGATTTGCAGTCTTTTATTGTCAGTCACTAGATAGGAGACATGACAAGATGAACTAATGTTACTTTATTGTAAGGCTACATTAACAGAATCATGCAAATCTGCTGGGACAAACATCCAGTCTCCACTTTTAACTACTTGATTTGTTAGCGCAGATCTTTTCTAAGTTTTTTTCCCCCTCTGACTTTGAAATGACTGTGGGCTCCTGCCTCTCATCTGGTTATTTTCTAGGCTGCATCTCCTCTCTTTCCCCAAGGTCACCCACACATTCCATTTATAAAAGTCATTTTTGTTCCTTCCTTAATCAACTTATCCCATCAGAGCTCTGAGTCGCTTCCCTTAATCTCACCCTGATCGTTCTTCCAGCCACTTTGCACTTTCTAGCTACACAAAAAATTACAATTGGAAGAGATCACTGGATTCTCTGAAGAATCTGCTCTGCTCACTATAGCCAATGTAACCCCTAAATTGTGGGACAACTTGCTCCTTATTCTCTGACCCCCAGTCAGCTACCTGTTTTGATGCCATTGGCTTTTAGCACCTGCACCATTTCATCCGAGAAGCCAGGACACAGGCCCACACGAAGGATCATCCCTGGAATGAACCTAGATAGAAAAGGCAGACAGTTGGATCATTTCTAGCACCATTTGTGAGATCTGCTAGTATATTTCACCTATGTCTCCAGAATCGCATCCCTTGTTGTGTAGGAAAGACAAAAGGGCTTTACTCTGATACACACAACACAGAAACAGTACTTTACCCAACAATGCATTACTGTATAAAACTGCAGGCAGACATCTAAAGAAATGAATTAAAGTTTGTTTGTTTGTTTGTTTATTTTTGTCAATTGCTTACAAAATAATAGGTATAAGTAAAAACATAGTTATGAATACATGGATACATATAAGAAAAATAAAAAATAAGAATAAAAGAATAAAACCAACACACAAATCTTAAGATGTAGCTGGGTTCACAGACTGGACCGGTCTTAATTAAAAGTGATGGGGTTTGCTCAGCTTGTTGTTGGAACCCATTTTCTTAGCAAAAGATGCTAACCAGACTGTCACTTTAAAGCAGAATTGGCTCGGTTAGGATCATCTATATATTACATGTTTAGGTTTTCCGGGTCTCGCTTCCTTCACTCCTTTGAACCACTTGCTAGCACAATTGCACATCGCATAGAAACAGCATGAAATACATTTACTTGTGGCTAACTGATCCCCCCACAATTACCACTTTTTGCAAAAGCTGCACAAAAGAGAGAAAGCACGCAGCAACATTAAGTCAAAGGAAATATTTACCTAACTTGTCTTCAGAGGCAAATAAGCCCCAACCCTTTCTTCTCCCCGCAGCTTCCAACTCACTTATGAGCGCTTCACTTTCCCCGCCGTTTCCTTCATTTTGATTCCTTCCTAGAGCGATCGCTGCTCCAAGCCCTGTTTAGCGCCATCTACTGGCTGGACCCTGAACTTTTGCTTCCAATTCTACTTACCGTACAAAAATAGAATAGAATAGAATAGAATAGAATAGAATAGAATAGAATAGAATAGAATAGAATAG